CCACAGGCAGGGCAAACAAGATGTCACCTTAATTTGCTTTTTTTTTTTCTTATTTTAATTTGTTTGTTTACCTTTTTGGAATTAAATATATTAACAAAAATCGTGTAGACAAAAACAAAACAAGGTGGAACCCCAAAATACAGGACGAAAGTGGATTGCATTACAAATTTAAATATTTAGTTCAAAATAAAATAAACAAAATAAAAGTGAGTTGCATGGCAATTTACCACTGCAATGCAAAAGGAAAAAAAAACATGTCTGCCATTTTAATTCATTTCATATTATCAATTATAACCATATGTTCGCACACTTTTAGGCGTATGAAACATTTTCATTGATGAAAATAATGTTATAAACAAACATTTACATATATTAAAAAAAAAAGAAATAAAAACGATGAAGAGCATGCATATAACTATATATTCCAATAACATTAGACTGAAGAAGTGATCGAAGTTGAATGGTAAATGAATTATCTTCGGTAAAAAAATATTTAAAACCTATATTGCATTACTGTCGAATATATCGTTATTGTAAATACTTTATAACATCTAAACTTGAATAAAATATCGTTTTTCATAATTTTTTGGGGGGTAAATGAGAGATTTTGATGATAATAATAATAATAATAATAATAATAATAATAATAATAATAATAATAATAATAATAATAATAATAATAATAATAATAATAATAATAATAATAATAATAATAATAATAATAATAATAATAATAATAATAATAATAATAATGAATTGAAATTTCCACATCAATACAAGAACAAATATGAAATATGTGATAGGAAGTGCGTCTCACTAGCGAAAAGAGCACTATCTTATTTTTTTTTTGTCCCTTAAAATATTCTAAGTTAAATATTTAGTATTTGTTTTCTTTTAAATTAGATTATATATATATATATATATATATATATATTGATAATGTTGCATGCAATGCAATATGAACGCACTTTACCTTATGGAGACCCAAAACACAAAAGAAAAAAGTTCTAAAGTTACATTAGCAAAAGGGACGAAATGATGACAAATTACAATGATTAAAAGGAAAATGGTTTCATACTCACATTTTAGCACACTATGAACTATATACTCTTATATGCGCGCGTGTATGCGTATATATTTGTGTGACACAGCCGTGAACCTCATATGCTCCAACTCATGAATCATTTTATTTGTTATGAGAGAGTTTCTAATAATATATATGAAACTATATAATGATTTTTCAATGCCATATTATTTAGTTACGAAATTATTTGGGTACTATTTTATCATCAATACACATTGTGGCCAAATATGATGATTTTACAACATTTTTTTCATTGTTTTGAGTTGTTGTTTTTGGTAGTGTACGTACCTCGATTTCTTTGCTATGGAAAATACTTTAAAACTTGTAATTTGTATGATCAATATTTAACATAAATTCGATTACAAACATAGAAATTACATGTGGGCAATTTTTTAAAACATAAGAAAACATTAATGTGGGGGGGGGGGGGGGAAAATAAAAGGCAAAATTATTATAATAATAACATAAAGAAGAAGAAGAAGTAGAAGACGTTTAAGGCTAACCATAATTATTCACATCCGCAAGAAACGGAGACCATTGATGAAATTGAAAACCGACCCGTTAGGGGCAAGAACGTCATTTGACAATCCCCGCACGGAATTTAGATTTTTCCAACTTGTATTATTATTATTATTATTATTATTATTATTATTATTATTATTATTATTATTATTATTATTATTATTATTATTATTGCTGTTGTCGTCATTGCCTTTAAAGCAAGCAATTCCTTTCACTTAGTTCCATTTTGAGGCACATACATATATATAATCGATAGGTAGTAAATGAATTTTATTTATTGTCATAGCGTTATTCTGATTACGGATGTTTGAGAATCAATCAATCTAGAGTTTTACTTGTTATTGTAGTCAAAATGGTGAGGATATTTTATTTAGGACATATAGAATTAAATGAGAAATGTTATTTTATATAATCGAATTTAATTAAATAGGCTGGATTGATTTTATTTAGATTTAATTAAATAAATATAGTTAAAACATAATTAATAGAAATATTTATATAAAACAGAAAATTTTTATAACATAAATATTTTTAATAAATACCAATTGAAATTCAAATGGAAATAGAAAATTGAAATGAATTCTAGTAGATATTTTTTAAAAATCTTAAAATAAATATTCGAAATATAACGACGTTGAAACTTTAATTAACATAAGTATGCTATATAATTAAATTCTATTTTTCAATTATGAAAATAATAAGCAATCTATCTGTTTGTATACAACTATAAACTTTCTCGTAGATAAATATTTTTGTCATAAGAACATTGTTTTACTAATACATCTCTTAAATTAACGTTTCCTTTTTCAATTAAAAAATAACATAGATTCTAAAATTAATGAAAATATATCAATTAGAGTAGTTTTTTTGGCAAATTTAATTGTAGACGCAATAATGTTATAAAATTTAAAATTGGAAAAGAAAGAGAAGGAAACGAGCTCCACGAGGAGGTGCATTTCAGTGAATTAGGATTTGATTAAATGACGAAACTACCCCCATAAGTCATCCAAAAACACCACCTGGCAACTATGATGTTTCACGCTTTGGCACTCATAACCCATGAGGCCATCTTTAATTATTTCAATCTTTTCCTAAATATGGAGAATGATAAATATTGTTTCATCTTGTTATAATCATTTGTTTCCAATCAAAATTATTATAGAAATCAGAAATAATTATATATCAGTTACATTAACAAAATAAACATGACACGAACATATTTAAAATGAAGATAATTATAACCGGTGTCATTTGTTAACGTAAAACATGAGTTTTTACTGTATTTCTCAAATTTTAAAATAGATATTAAAAATGAGAAATATTACAAGATGATGTAGGAGAGGTAAAGTTTTTAACCCAAAGGGTATATTCAAAATCAAACATTGAATAACGAAACACGATACATGTGTATGTGGAATGCCAAAAATTTCATGGATTCAATTGGGACATGGACGATGATGATGATGATGACCATGATCATGATGATGATGAGTGCCAACAGTGACCAAACCGGGTAATGAGATTAAGTAAAGAGAGCAATAAAAATGAACCATAAATTGAATGTGTGATGATGGTTCGAACCAATCCTAACCATCATTGCGAATCTTTGGGGACGGCCTCTATATAGCCCCTTCATCATTTTCACTCGATAACCCGTCTTGTCAATTTACTTATTTACCCTCTTCGATTTAAATTTTTCCATTTTTTGGTATTTCCATTGATGACTCAGAAAGATATGGTCTTATGTCTGATTAAATTCCTTAGGTAATAGAAGTAATACCTCCAAAATTTCCGTATTTAAAAACATTGATATACTAAAATATTCGAGTTTGAATAGGAATATTTAAATTTAGAAAAACAATTGTTTTATGCGTTATAATAATATTTTTCTCGAAAAAATTCGGATTTTAACTTAATTTTAATATCTGAATCCACTTAATCACCTCAAGAACATCCGAATAATGTCTGTCCATCTATTTCGAAGAAAAGGTAAAAATGGATAAATGATAATTAAAAATGGTTGGAAGAAAGATCTGTTTTAGAATGGACAAAATGAAAGAGATGAGGGTAATTTGACTTAAAAGAGGACACTAATGACTGATTCCATCCGAATTTGACATCACTTATTCAGAGGAAGCTTCGAATAATTCTGATTATAGTTTTTTATCGGCAAAATAATATATATACTAAATTAATTTTTATTTTTTTAATTATAAATTTACCATTAAATTTAAAGTTTTGTTATTTCACTCTCTCAATTTTAATTTTGATTCCAATCTCTCGTCTTAACAGATTCACTCTCTTTCTCTTTGCATGTGTTTTTGATTCCTTAAAATTTATCACAGATTGGAGTTCGAGTATTCGTGAGTACCGAATGTTTGATGTAATATAAAATCAAATCTTTTTAGTATAAAATTGGAATACTAAATCTTTTATCCGTTCATATTTGGATTCCAATATTAATAATCTAAATTTTTGGATATTGGATCCATGCCATCCCAAATTTGAATCGAAATCATTTCTGTCATTGAATATTAAAGTGACCCTTTGAGAGAAATTTCAAAGCAACAAGAAACCCCCCCTCTAATTTCACCCCTCTCTCTCAATCATCATTCACATGACGCAATACACCCAAATCTCTCCCTCTCTCTCTCTCTCTCTCAGAACAACATATTCAAAAAAAAAAAAAAAAAAAAAAAAATTCTAAAGCTTACCACAATGCATGATTGTTGTGTCAGGAGAGAGGGGCATGTCCCCCACACCCCTCACCCTCTCCCTCTCTCTCTCTCTCTCTCTCTCTCTCATTTGGGAGCTCTATATAACCGGACAGTTCTTCAAATTGTTCTCTTTGTCCCTCCACCTTCCACACAGTGCTCTCCTCTGTTTCCTTGCAAAGAAAAAAAAACCCCACTTCCCAAAAGGTGAATCTCTCCCTCCCTGTCTCTCTCTCTCTCTCTCTCTCTCTCTCTCTCTCTCTCTCTCTCTGAGAACGGCCATTAATGGTCTTCATCTCTTTTTCTCAGCTGAAACACGCATAGATTTCAAGAAGCTTGGAATTCAGCATTGCAATATAAGGCATGGGGCGACATTCTTGTTGTTACAAGCAGAAGCTAAGGAAGGGCCTCTGGTCTCCCGAAGAGGACGAGAAGCTCCTCAATCACGTCACCAAACACGGCCATGGATGCTGGAGCTCTGTTCCTAAACTCGCCGGTATTTTCCTTTCCTTTCTTTTCTTTTCCTTTCCCGGAAAAAAAAAAGACAATGACATAACCGTCACTCAACACAACAGGGTTGCAGAGATGCGGTAAAAGCTGCAGACTTCGGTGGATTAACTACCTGAGACCTGATTTGAAGAGAGGGGAATCTTGAGTCTGAGAATCCACCTGAGTTTTTTTTTCTCTTTCAATGGCGTTTTTGAGTATTCTGCAAATGGGTTCTTTCTCTTTTGCTCTGTTTCGCTTTGTATGTACACAAAAGCTGTTTCATCAGATCTTTGCGGCGAAGAGAAGACATGAGTTTGTAGAAATGTTTCTCTCACGTTTAAGCAATGTGAATACATTCCATATTATTTTTCATATAAAAAAATTTATTCATTTTCGTGTTTTTTTTGTTTTCCTGCCATCTAATGATTAACGAAATTCACCTTTATCCTTTTCTTTCAGACAGAGGCAACCGAAAGAAACTATTTTTATTTAGTTTTTTTTCTTTGAATCGTAAGAGTTTTGGGACTCTTTCCTTTTCCCCTGTTTCTCCCTTCTCTTCATTCCTTTGTATTTATACGATTTAGGGAGCACAATGTTACGAGTTCTATATATATATATATAAGATTTTATTACAACTTCTTGCTTCTACGTTCTCTGGTTTTCGTTTCTTCCCTAATTTGTGTTTCAAATCCCATTATTACTCTCCTCTGACAAAAGCAAAGGTTAAAGGTTAGGGATAAACATCATATTGCATCATAATTACTTTGTTTTCTTTTCTTTATCCATCTTCATATTAATTGTGCGTAGCTTTTTTCCACCATCATTTATGAAAGTTTTTCTCGTGAGCGTTTTGGGGTCGAAAACGAAATAAATGTTTTGCATGGAGCCGGTGGGTTATGATTTCAATCCGACGTGTGAAATATAGTAATGAGAATGATGGTGCTGCGTCAAAACCCATGTGTGGTGCAATGATTTTACATGGGCTATCATCATAACATGGAAGCTATAATCATGGCCTCTCTCTCGTTTTTTTTTTTGTCTTTTTTTTTAATTTCAGGTTCTGCATTTGTTGGTGAACAATATACAAATGGAGAGGCTGAACTCGGAGCTCTACCTGCAGAACTGTTACATAATGAAAGAGAACGAGAGGCTGAGGAAGAAAGCTCAGCTTCTGAACGAAGAGAATCAGCAGCTCCTCTTCGAGCTCAAACAGAAACTGTCCAAATCCAAGAACCCTAACGGATCAAACAAAGGAAACAACAACAACAATGAGATGATGGGTCATGATCTCAACCTCTGCTCATCGAGCTCAAACCCTAAACCCTGAATGCAAGACACAGAGTAAAAATTGTTGGTCACTTTGCTTAGAGAAGAGACAAATCTCATGACCCCACTTAGAAGAACTCGACCTTTTGTTTATCTCTTTTTTTTTTGCTAGTTTCTTTTTTTTTTTAATGGGGGGTTTGTAAGAAGAACACTGGTAGTGATTATGGTGGTAGCAGCAAGCAGCAGCAGTAGATGGTGTCAAATTGTTTTCTGTGTTATTACAATAGGACAGTTTGTTTGTAGTGTCTGCTCTCTCTCTCTCTCCTAAGTGTCTTTCACTTTTGTTTCTGTTTCTATGTTAATTAGATCTTATCTTTTTTTTCCATGTGGGTGTGTGGGGTTTTAGGATACTTGGGGGTTATCTGGGTCTACAATGTACCTTCTGGTCTAATGGCTGCAACAATATATATATTGCTATTATATTAATATAATATATATATATATATATAGAGTACTAGTATATTTGAATTTGTCCATGTGTAATGTCTTTTATTAGAAGGAAAGATTAAAAAAAAGACCAGTAAAATTTTTGAGTCTAAAAATTCCTCCATATATGAACAATGCCATTCCAAATGCATGAGCTTATAACAGAGGAAAGAAAATATAACAAAAAAAAGAGGTATTTGTTTTTTTTTGGGGGGGGGGGAATGAGATATAGAGGCATTCCATAAAACAGTTGAAAGAAAAATATACACTTTGACACAGTGCAATTACCAAGACTTACAAAATGGAATATGGTGAATTGGCCAAAGTAATTAACTTATCGAATGTATAATCTATCACGTGTATACAAAATTTTTAATGATTATTTCCTTCAATATATAATCAGTAATCTGAACCTTTTGTCAGGATTCATGCAACGTTATACGTATAATTTTATTCTTCTGATTCCATATACTATATTTTTTTTGGTAAAGCATATATTATAATTCGGTAGAACAAACTAAAAAGATCTTGCTCCTTTCCAAATATAAATAATACCAAAATCACATTGGAGTAGCATTAATTATTCAAATGAAAACTCTTTTATATTAATGAATTTTTTTTGTCACGGTAATTATCATGAATTAAGTTTCGCAGCGTTTGGGAATAGCAATTCCGCGGACTTTAATGCAAAATGAATTTGAAATATATAGAAATAAACAAATTTTACTAATTTGTATACTATTGCTATTGCATACAAACACATGGAAAATTGATTTAAAAATATGGATAATTTGCTTAAATTATTGTTCCTTACTATTGCATGTCCGAAAATAAATAACCGGTTTAATTTTCAAATGAATAACATTATTTCAACTGTTTTATAAAATATATTTGGAATACACTTTATTTAGTTAAAAAAACAGAAGGATTTTAAAATATATAAAATTAAATTGGAAATGAAAGAAAAGACAGAGAGGGCCTTACATTGGGATTCTATGTGGGAGAGGATTTTATCGAACAGATGACGTCATCCGACGACAATGCTAAGTCAATGAGGTTTCATGTGTGTTTGAAAAAGTTGTTCTTCATAAACATCAGTTCTTCAGATTTGACATCCACGTCGTCTTACTATTTCTTTGTGTATTTCTTGTAAATAAAAAAATGTTTTATTGAAAATTATTTAGAAAATACGGCCAAAAATATCTAAACTTTTTTAATTTCGAAGATAAATATATTAATTTTTCTTTTTCTGAAAAATATACAAATCTTGCAATTTTGTCAAAAATCTAAATATACAAATTACATATACATATATACATCCATACGCATATATACACATAGAATATATATTTATATATGTGTGTATATATGTGTATGTGTATGTACGTATATGTTGCGTTTATGTAAATATAAAGTATATATTTGTATGTATATATTATAATTTTTAATTTTTAATTCTGTAATTTTATTTATAATTAAATTTTAAATTTTATTTTTTAAAATGTATTTGTAATTAATTTTCTAATTTTTTTATTTTTATATATTATTTTTTATCGTCCGTAATATATTTATGTCATGTGATGATATTTTCGTCATATTTTTAACACCATTAGAGTTTATGTTGGGTTTTGATAAAATTTAGGGAGAATCACCGTAAAATATCTATACTTTTCTCTGATCTTAATTTAATACATGTATTTTTTTAATTACTGAATAATACATGTACAATTGGTTTTTCTCCAAATAAATCCTATACTTTTAAATTATTCGCCAAAAAGTACCTACCGTCAAATAATCGCCACGTAGATAAACGGAAATCCTATGTGGCGCCAAATTCCTAATATCACTCCTAATCATCGCGTCATGTCATCACCACGTCAGAAATTAAATAAAAAATAAATAATTAATATATTAATTAATAATAATAATTAATTAATAAAATAAAAAATCATAAAATAAATAATAAATATATATATATATATACACATACATATATATATATATATACATACGTATAGAAATATATACATATATATACATACATATAAACACACACATATATATACCATATATAAATATATATATACATACACATAAATATACATATATATAAATAATAAAAATATACATATACATATATATACATACATATATAAATATACACATCCACACATATATACATATATATACATACATATAAATACACACACACACATATATATATATATATATTAATACATATATATACATACACATATATACATATACATATACATACACATGTATATACATATATACATATATATATTATATATATTATTTATTTTATGTTTTTTATTTAATTAATTAAATATTATTAATTAATTAATTTATTAATTATTTTTTATTTAATTTCTGATGTGGCGATGACATGACGAGATGATTAGGAGAGATGTTGAGAATTTTGCCGTCACATAGGATTTCCGTTTGTCTATGTGGCGGGATATATATTATATATATTATTTATTTTATGTTTTTTATTTAATTAATTAAATATTATTAATTAATTAATTTATTAATTATTTTTTATTTAATTTCTGATGTGGCGATGACATGACGAGATGATTAGGAGAGATGTTGAGAATTTTGCCGTCACATAGGATTTCCGTTTGTCTATGTGGCGGGTATTTGACGGTTTTTTACGATATTTCCAATGTTAAATATATACGGTGACCAAAAAATCTCACACTCATTTTATCATTGCCAAATTTTCAATTTCAACCAAAACTAACGAAACGGATTTTCAATTAAAGTTACCATTACACTACTAAGATAATAAGATTAATTTAAATATAGAAAGTTGTGCACAAATATATCGTTGTAAGATAAAAAATACATTGCGCAATATTGTGAAATCTTCTATAGGTAACCAAAATCATAGTTGAAGAAAGAATCCCAAAAATAAAAGAAGGGATAGAACATAAAGAAAAAATTTTACCGTGAATTGTTTGTTATATATAACAAAATCCTAATATGTGTAAATGGTAATTCATGTGCATTATCGTATTTTATAATAAGAATTTATATTTGACGAACATTTAACAAACGAAAAACAGATTTTAACTCATTTACTTATTTTTTTTATTGTAGAAATCAATGTGAAAATAATTTAAACGGAAAAGAAAATGTCGCATCAAACTCAAGTATTATTAAGAAAATAATACTGAGACCTAAAGACCTCGAACATAATTGGCCTAAGTAAATAATCATAAACGCTTAGAAACTCTTCCGTCGTAAAGTCAACTTTCAAAGATTTTAAGAACAAAAATGTCTGTTTTATGATGACTCCAAATCTCTTTGGAAGTTCACGCAAGGCATCCATTTTTATATGTGCGATATCATTTAATTAATGGATTCTTGTTGAACTATTAAAAAAATGCTTATTTGCAAAGTTCAAAAAGGACATTTGCAATATATATCTTTTTTTTTTTATTAATTCTAACATTTCCCTTAAATAGGTTAAATGCACATTTATCCGAAGAGTCCAAAAATCACTGCCATTTCTATGTAAAAAAAATATATTTCAATTTCAATTCATTCTACAAAATTTTAACAAAAAAGAAAATCATTCTACAATCGATAATTACGCAAAATTCAACTCTCTCGAAAAAACGAAAACCTCTGCAATTTTTAAAATTATATAATTTTTATATATATTTTTATAATAAATTTAAAATAAAATATTTTTTAGATAGATGATAACTTTATTAAAATTAATAGTTGGTATTTTTTATATTAAATTTTAAGATAGTTGAAGGTTTTTTTTTTTTTTTTTTTGGAATTGTCCCATTCTCTAATAATGATTAGTCGAAATAGAAGAAGTTTCAGTTATTACAGGAAGATGCATGTGAGAATTTGGATACAAAGACGATGGAGAAAAACTACTGCAACCCATAATCAAGCAAGACTGTCGTAGAACAAGTAGGAAATGGATTCGACTGAAACATGATCGAGAAATAGATAGCTGTTGCCAATTTGAACAAAAATCATAAAATAAAACACGCGTTCCAGAGTTTGATAGTTAAGTGTAAACTCAGGAAATATTATCAGTCTTGCAATTTCGCAATCTCTAATGAACCTAAAACCTTTCGAATTACATAAGTTTCAAGAGGCAAATTAGGTAAAGTTCGTTTCTAGGAACAATACCCGTGCCAACAACGACAATCGCTCGTTCTGTCGTTGTAAAATTCGGGGTTCGTTAAGGGGAATAGAAGCATCATGAAGGCCACCAGCCCGGCCAGGAACACTGCAGTCACGAGTCCTGAAAACAGTGATATAAACGTTTTAAATGAACGTGAAATCTGACCAATATATGTGATGAGTAGAGAACTATGAACACTGCATAGTAGTGATATATATATATATATATGTATTTTACTTTGAGATAGGTTTGTTTACCATTTCCCCTCGCAAAAAACACAGGCAACCCCATATAATTGCAGAATATATGAGCGACCAGAGGAGACACGAAATGTCCTGAGGCATCAAAGGGGAAATAAGAAGAGAGAAACGCATGTAAAGTGATCGTACGGTCGAAAAAACGAGGCATACAAACCATATGATTGCAGAATTTGTTGTTTACCTGTTCTAATGAAGAGAAACGAGGCATAGGAACCGAAAACAGCAGTGTAGCCAAGTTGGAGACCTGATCATGGCAAACCCTCAACTGATAACAATCCATAAAATTTCATGTGTTTTCTAAAAAGTTTACAAGTACTTAAGAACGATGACCCAGAAAAGCTAAATGGTGTTATCCAAAGCAAAGGAGTAAAATTCGGGCATACCAACAATTGCTGAAGCCTTGAGAACGTTGCGGTTATGCTTGATGTATAACTCCATAAAATGGTTCAAATGGGCTTCCAGAACAGAGAGAACGAATCGAGCATAGTTTTCAACTTTTCATATGGGTCTGTTTAGATGCCGAAACTATAAAGTAAAAAAGACATCTTTCGCTGAAGGTAAAAACTTACCCAAGCTAAACAGAATTGGGCAGAGAAAGATAGCAATGTGTACCCTTAAACCAGCACACAGAAGCAAAGGTATCATGCAAGATCGGAAAACCAGCTCCTCAGTTACTGGTCCCTGTTCATTCATTACAAGAAACATCAGCTCCGACAGACCATGATTTTGATTGATTTGACTGTTTCTTAGACGAAATAATGTCGAATGATTTGATTGATTCGGGCAGTTGTGCTATTATCATACCCAATATGTATATTCAGAACAAAAACCTCTGTTTTCAAATGACTCCAAATGAATATCCAAAGGGAAGAAAACAGTCAATTACCACGACAAAATTGCGCCAAACAGAAACGTTCGAAGCAAATGAGAACAGCTGAGAAGGAATCGTTTGAATGAAACTTCTGATACGGTACAAGGAGCTACATCCACCGTGATTTTCCCTCCATGATTTCAAGAGTAATAACAACTTCAGGACAAAAGATCCGGCATACATGAGCGATGTCAATGAAAGGGGGTACACAATAGCTTGCCACTGTTCCATACATAAAACTGCATTCTTTCAGATGGCATATTAAACAACAAGCCTTTTGCACAATCTACAGGCCATAAGGAGTATATCTAGCTGATTGCTGTTTTTTCTGACAGAAACCCTAGTCGGAATCAAGCTGAACAGCTGATAATACCAACAATGTGTTAAGGTAAGCACATCTGAGACAAAGAACTTACAAGGTGATCTGCCCGTATGCCGTAGATTCCAAGTAGACGAGAGGCTTCCCAGTTTCTTGTCTGATAATTCTCCAGCAAGAACATACATTTCGGTTATTTTGATATGTGGGTGTTAAACAGGATAACATAATCCAATTCATGGATTGTAAAACTTAGTTATATATCAAAGACAATGTTCAGATATTCTTGAATCACATGAATAAAAGAATCAACCAAAACCAAGAAGGAAATGAGAGAGCAATTCTATGAACCAAGTGACAGATCTGCAAAGAGCATAGAAACTTTGATTCTGCAGAATCCACACAATTCACATACAGCTTCTCCACCCTTCTTATCATCAATCGATACTTTACCGATTTCACCAGGAATTTACCCTTTTCTCCATCGATTCAACTGGAAGCTTCCAGTTCATGTTCGATTCGAACCGTATTCATGGCGAATGAATCTGAAGCTAACTAATTCTAGTATTACCCAGTTCGATCACGCATCGACGCAAAACAACACGAAGTGGAAAGGCTTTGGTCGGAAAAGTTTACCGACAGAATAACCGCCGTGGCGGCGAGAGATGCGGAACTAGAAACGGCGGCGCAAACGAAACGTCGTATCATGAAGCTCGTGAACGAAGACGGCGGCCGTAAGCGCAGGATCACGGTGGGGGCGTAGAGGATCAAGACGTAGAGCACCGACATGGCGACGCAGGCGGCCACCGCCACTGGAATAGAAACGTTCTCACTACCTGTCCCGCACTCTCCGGCCATTCTCTGACGGAGTTGGTTGAATCTCCGGCAAGCTCGCCACCGGTCACGCGTCGGAATCGCCGGCAAGCTTGTTTGCCGAAGCGAGCAGATTGGACTACGGTCAAGGAAGTCTTGACCAATAAGACACGCCACGTCATCAGAATAAATGTATTGGGTCGTAAGCTTTCAAAATGGGCCTAGAAGAGGAAAAGAACCTTGGCAATACATGGTATATATAGTTTTGAAGTTTTTTTTTTGGTTGAAAAAATAATTTTTTGTTGAAATTTTGAAGTTTTTTTTGGTATAAGTTTATTTTTATTTCAAAATTTCATTGTAATTGTATACAAACTTTGGGATTTCCTTGGCAAATGGTATTAACCAAAACTTGATTCCAATTTTGAAATGAGGACGACTTCTATTCTACGGTCACATAATACCCTCTTTCAAAAAAAAAATTCCAACTTTTCTATTATACCCTGTAAAGACTAAAATGTCCTTTTATATTTATTTTTTTAATAAAAAATTCCTCCTAAAATCTAGGGTTTAGTTTTCTCTCTCCTCTGTTTCCGGTTTCTCTCTCCCGTCCCTCTCTCTCGTCGAGCTTGAGCTCTCTCTCTCCTATATTTTCTCTCTCCTCCGAATCTTTCGATTTTTTCTCCAAATTTCTTAGAAATCAAAGCAAAATCAATTCAAAATCAGTGAGAAAATTAGAAAAAGGTAAGCAATTGTGAAAATCTTATTATTTTCCATGCACATTGATGGTTGCTGATGTGTATTTAATGAAAAATGATGCTTCTTCCATTTTTTTCTTCTAATTTATTGATGTTTTAGAATTTTTTTTCTTTTATAGTATAGTATAGTCATAGATCTGGGTTGGATCTGGGTTTGAGATGTTATTTTTAGACTATCACAATGCACAAAAGTCGAGTCACAATAGAGAGGAGTTGGTGACATGGCCACAAGGTCACATGGTCACATAGTGACATTGTCACATTAGTCTGGGGTCATTAGAGTAACGGTTCTCATAGGTTTCCAAGGATGACATGATATTATTTTTACATGGTCACATGGTACTATATTTGATGGATATGGTGCTCTGGCCACGATCGGTTTGCGAAATTGATTAGAAATCCATTAGATGGGTTTATGTGGTCCAATGGGTCCATATGTTTATGAATAAGGTTAATGGACTTATTTTCTCTTAATGGTTAAGTGACAGCTCATTAGACCCATTTAGTTTAATGAAACCTAATCCTTTTTATAATTATGTTTAGAAAACATATTTTAAGGTTAACACTATAAAAAAAACTGTTATTTGCGATACCCATTGCGACAAACATTTTTGTCGCTGCATTATTTCCAACAGACAACGACAGAATAGCGCAATCGAAATACTGTCGCAATCGGACGCAAAAACGGTCGCACATTTACGACAGGTAGCGACACATTATTCTGTCGGAGATTTTTGCGATAGCCTAACGACAGAAAGCTACGGAAAGTTTACGACATACCGTCTGTCGGTAATTACCGACACACTTTGTGACAGAAATATCGGTCGTAATACGTGTACGACACATTGGCGACAGAAATCGTGCGTCGCGACATCTTGGCGACAGATTTGCGACAGGTTCGGTGCGTCGCGACATTTTGGCGACAGATTTGCGACAGATTCGGTGCATCGCAAAGTTAGGTATGTTGGTCTTCCTGGGATCTCTAGAGCGAATCCTATTCCTAAGAGATCGATTCTAGGGTTTGCGCAGCGGATATAAAACAAAAATTTAATAAACCCTAGAACCATGCTTCTAATGAATCGTAGAAACGTTAGAACGCTTACCTCAATCGATCCGGGGCTTGTATCAATCGAAGAACACGTCTGATCACGAAAGGCAGGAAGAATACCTCGCCCTCTACACGTATCCACACCTCGGGATGGATTCCAACGGTTGGAACTTGTCTGCTAGGACTCGAATCTCTATTCGATTTGTGCTTCGAGAAAAAACGGACTTTGGTCACACTCTCAACCTTTTTGGATCTCACCAAAAACTGCTAAAAGTGTTCTAAAGTCGGCTCACCTTATTAGGGTTTTTAATCTCCCTTTTATAAAGTGATTTAACCCTAATCCGGTTTAATTTCGGAAAAACTGAGCCCGGAACGGATGGTCTAGAAAAGCACGTGGACCGTCCGTTCCAGCACGTAGAACGGACGGTCTGCTCACGTGGACCGTCCGTTCCAGACTTTCTGGAACGGACAGTCCGTTCTGGACCGTCGGGTCTGGCACGGCGGACCGTCCGTTCTGGACTTCTGGTCCGTCCGTTCCAGACTCTTCCGTCTTGGTTTTTCCGTCGTTTTCTCGTGCGTTTTGTCCTTCCCTGCGTGTGTGACCCTGTAGGCTCATTCGACATAGCAGTATAACCCGAAATCTCTATTTCGGATATACAAGTCATAGGCGGTCTCTAGCAAGACCCTATGACTACCTATCTCGAATAGAGTTTGTTCGTGATCTTTACGAACGCCAGAGATGATTCCGGTTGATGATCCTTTTGTATCATGATATCATATGTCGAACATAAGGCATGGACAAGCCACCTTATATGATTCGACTGCTTTCTCGTTCACTGAGTTCGACTGTCTGAAATAGACGACGTTCGTCTATAGTGCGGCCACACATTTCTATAGTCTCGCTCACACGAGGGGCCCAGCGATATCTCTCTCTTTTACGAGAGGTACAAATCCCGTCTTGACTATCTACAATCCAGCACATGATTCGTTTCGTACCTGATACACGCCTTTATAGTCCTCCTGTTACGCAGGACGTTTGACGTATTCAAAGCACGCAACTCCTCATGTTGGATTCCGTAGATATCTCAGGTCTTAGGATCCAATCATGGAACCGCGATATGAGATTCAAGTCATGACGCTAGTCCATGTGACAATCTCATGCGGGTCAATCCAGTATTCCGTTCTTCAACGAATACCTATGACAGTGATCGTATCCAATACCTATGATCATCGCTATGATCATCAATCACACATCATACTAGTCTTATTATGTCATCATTCCCATAATGACACAAGACTAGGGAGTTTAGTATCATTCATAATGATACATGGATTTCATAACAGATCTAGTATGCAAGAACATGTAATGAATCAAATACTCTCATAAAACCATAGAAAGTATCAATACATCGAATGTATCTAAAGAAAGCTCATAAACAGTACATCATAGAGCACTAAACCAACAAGGTAGACACGTAATTCGTGTGTCACCTAACTTCTGTCGCAATTCTGTCGCAAATCTGTCGCAAACACATAACGACAGAACTATCTGTCGCTAATTCGTCGCAACGTTTTCCCTATAAAACCACCGCGCGGTTGCATTGGGTAAGGTGAAAAAAATATTTTAAAAAAAATGTGTTTCTCATCCAAAATGTAGATGTATAATAGATTTGATTCTTCTAATAATAATCAAATCTCCAGTGAGTTTGTTGAAGGGTTACAACATTTTATGGCATTTGCAACAAGTCCAACGTCGTATGTTGAGAGTTCGAAGTTACCATGTCCGTGTTCAAAATGTGAGAATAAAAGATGGCGAAGTCAGTATGAAATCTGTAAGCACCTGGATAGAAGAGGTTTTATGCCAAGCACGTATGATACATCGTCATCATCACATGTTTCACAAATGCAAGAACAATTTGTGCAAAACACGGCGCAACCTTCAATTTTTCAAGAAGAAGAAAGGAATCTATATGCAGAGATGGTGAATGATGCATTTTCCAACATTGCTCCTTCTCCGTATATGGAGGAAGAGTCAAATGTTGAAGCGAAAAGATTTTATGATATGCTTCACACGGCGAACACTCCGATATATGAAGGTTGCGTACAAGGGCTGTCAAGATTATCATTATCTTCGCAATTGATGAGTATGAAGACTGACTACAATCTTTCGGAGAGATGCATAGATGGATTCAGTCAGATGTTTAAACAGTATCTTCCAGAAGATAACACTGCAACAAAATCATATTATGAGACGAAAAGTCTAATGCGTACGTTGGGTCTACTTACCGAAAGATTGATGTTTGTGAAGACAACTGAATGATTTTTTGAAAAGAAGACGCATAATTGATGGAATGTCGTTTCTGCGGGAAAGATAGATATCGACCACGTCGGATTGCTTCAAAGAAAGGCAAGTTAATTCATTTGAAGAGAATTAATGTTTTATATGCCTACAACAGATCGTTTGAAAAGGTTATATCAATCTGAAAAGATAGCATCACATATGCGGTGGCATGGCGAGCATTCGACGCTTGATGGAGAAATGCATCATCCATCCGATGGTTTGGTTTGGAAACACTTTCAACAGGTATTTTCTGATTTTGCAAGTGAGGCTAGAAACGTATATTTAGCATTATGTACGGATGGATTTAATCCATTTGGGATGTCTGGTCCGAATTATTCTCTATGGCCGGTGATTTTAACACCGTACAATTTACCCCCGGATATGTGTATGAATAGAGAGTTTTTATTTCTCTCAATATTAGTTCCGAGACCTAAACATCCTAGAAGGAGTTTGGATGTTTTCCTTCAACCGTTGATAGAAGAGTTGAAAGACCTTTGGAATATTGTGGTAGAGGCATATGACGTGTCAATAAAGCAAAAAGTTTTGCTTCGTGCCATACTGATGTGGACAATTAGTGATTTTTCAGCATACTTGATGTTGTCTGGTTGGACAACGCATGGTTGTCTAGCTTGTCCGTATTGTATGGATGAGACCGATGCATTTTGGTTGCCGA